TTTTAAGCAATTTATTAAGATGCTCCTGTCCCTGTGCAATCGATCTCATGGGAAAGCTATGTGGAATGGATGATTAAATCAGCTGTCAAAGGATCGAATTAAGATTGGCCTGGAGCAGCTGTTTAGTTATTTGACTGTAGCGTATATTTTGAGCATAGCATACTCTATGGTGAACAGTTTGAGAACATATATGAAAATAACTCAGAGGAAATAAGATTGTATGGAGCATTGTGTGACAAACAAGCATACCTAGGGCTTGAAATTGAATAAGCTCGACAATCAAAGGAAAATAATGACGGAAACAAATAAACACACTGAAGACAAAGCGAAATATTAGCAACTATTCAGTTTAGGACAGCTTCGCCTACACAGGACAAGTAAAAACATGGGGGTGACAAATGCAGTCACCAAAATAAATAAAATCCATGTGAAGACAATCAAATCCAAGAATACTGCTAATCTTGAAAAAGTGTACCGTATTCCTTAATAAAAGCTTTCCTCATCAAACAAATGGGTTACTTGATAAATATGACTTAAATCGAAATAATAGTAGGGACTTTTATAATGATAGACAATTGTACTTCCATAATACAAATAGAAAAAAGCAGTAAAATAAGACCAATATTTATTCATCATTCTGCTCTATCAGGATTGTGGACTTTATATCTTTCAATTCTCTTGCTAATACATAGATTATCATATGGTTAAGTCATATTATCATATTATATGGTAGCATCATGTGGCCATAACACGTTCTTGCAATATAAATTCGCATCTCCTCAAGAGATCCAGTAAAAAAACAATGCAATAAAAAGTTCGTCTTACGAGAAATCAATACTTTATCATGCACATTTTGTTCCCAGAGGGCACAAACTCAGATTTTAAAAAGCTTATTTAAGTGAGTCCTAAAGATATGCATGCGTTAATCAGTTAACAATAGATTCATTCATCTCACTGACTAGCTTTCCTTAGAATATTTGAAGAAGAGCGAAGCATCACGATGTATCAATAGTCTATTTTGCAGAAATGAGAAGCACATCAGGATTGCAATTCTCTCAACTAAAGAAAGTTTTCACATCTCCTTGCAATCAAAGTATATTTAGCAACTGTAGCTATAGTAACAGCTACAATGGGCTTACTGATAGACAGACTGCCACCAGGGCAACGAAGAGTATTGCCAAGTAAGTGGACTAAAGAAAATAGGTAGTATTATTGCTATATCTAATAATATTATGAAAAAAGGGATTTCTGACAAGACATTCGGATTCAGGGAAATGAGGATACTTCTTTCTTGTCCACATAATAAAGTGGAGAATAAAGTGGAAAACCAAGGAACCAAATAAATCCATGGGATGAAATAACATAGCCTTATTTCTGCTCTCATTTTTCCTTTACCCTTTTCCTGTTGGTTAATAAACTTTCTTCTGTCAAGAGCATCGGTTACCTTGGGTCATTAAAATGTCGTAATCAATGAAGGCTGAACTTTTTACATTAAATGGAGAAGATTCTATCTTTTTTCAGATATCTTTCCAAAAAGGCTTACTCATCCGGAGCCATAAGTTGAAGTGGTGATAAAAACTGAGCTGTCGAAAGCTCATATTTCATAATATTAATATAAAATACTTTAATTTTTCCCTTCTTATAAGACTATCAGTAAATCCGATATACGAGCTGTATACCATGGATTTAGTTAGGGTGATGAATTCCCAGTAGGACTATTTTTAACCTGCGCCTTGGCGCTGAGCTTATACTGCTTCAAGGCCGGCTTGATGAGTATGATGCAGTCTCTAGAAACTAGGGGCTACAAATAAACCTGACCAATCATTTTAGTTATCTTTATTTCCTTGGGACAAATAAAGTTGTTGCCGTCCCAGATTTGCAGACTAGAAAGTAAATAAGTTAGGCCATTTAGTTACTATGCGGGAGTAATATCAGTGTGAAGACTTTATGTGAAAAGTTATCATGGAAAGACTAAAATTTTGATAAGAAAAGCCGGGTTTTTAGGAACCTATTTTGAGTTAGTGTGTAAGAGAGATGATCACACCACAAAGCAAATGCAGATCCCTCTTGGCCAACAGGTTTGGGGTATATACATATTTGACAGTTAGCTATAAGAGGGCGCAGTTTCTTGATTATTTAGATTACATTTGGTTGTAATAATTTTCTCAATATATTTAATGCCATATTTAATCAACCTAAATATCATAACTCCAAAAATATAAATTATTCTTTTAAAAGTGGTACTTCATTTTAAGTCAATGTTTATTGTAATATATTTATCATAAATTAACTAAAGTGCTTGCTTTAGTATTTTACACTTGAGCCATTTGAACGAAATCTGGTAATGTAAACACATTTTAAACATATGCAGCATTTGATTTTCCTCCGGAATCGTTTTACATGGATTATGTTTGGTACAGTTAAATAGTTAAAATACCACTAAAATAGCAGCACTTCTCAATCCATTTATTCTGGTATTGTTTCAAGGCTTTTTACTTTACTTTTCAAGATAGTGTCCTTTTGGTCAAGTAAAATAAACATATTTTAAAGTAGGCGATTATATGATAGCTAGAAAGCTCATGAAGGAACAGGAAAATCGTGAGTTTTTACACACGAAGATTAATTGGGTTTAGATAAATCTTTTGGGATGACATCATTGTTGAGACTATCATTAATAAGAATGCGCAAGTTGAAATGGTTTGATAGTTGATATCATCTGAAGATGATGACTGATTCAGATATGAAGAAAAACTGGGTTTCGAAGAAGTTATTAGTTATTTATTATGAGATGACTTTCATTTCGTGGAAAACATGGCTGGTCTCGCCATAAAATGGAGGATTGCCAAGGAGTAAAGACTGTTGAATTGTGTTAAGATATCCTCGGCTCACCGTCATGCGACTCCGACGAACCTGGTTATGCCTTCGTCTGTCATTTGACGGACAACACCAGAGCGAGAAACAATACTTTACGAAAAAATTTACCAAATAAAACCCCATTGTATAATTATTTGGAACGGAGATACTCCCCGTCTATTTATTCTTTACTGCCGCTGGATTACATCGGTAAGACAGAGGATCCTAATTATCATCTATTTTACGATACCTAGTTTTACCCCATATGCATGACTAGAAAAGAAATAAAGGATGAATCCCACATATTGGTTTACTGAACATATTATGACCCAACTTAGTACTCCTTTTATTTACCGAAGCATCTATAAAAGTTAACTTTTCCTCCTTTTCTAATTTCACCGTTACTCCAGTTAATCTATTCATTATCGCAAGAAGTTCGTCTAATTTGTCTTTGCCGTGTTGCCAAACAGCAAAGTAGTCGCCCAAATATCTACCACCGCTGAGGTTTATTTGAGCAAATATCCTGCATTAAGAGAAATTTGTGGATGTACATTTATTTCAGTAATATAACTTGCTACTGACAGGATATTAAGGACAGTGAATAGAGCAGTAGAAGTTTATCTCGTTACAGTCAAAAAATACCTTTCTATGAGTAATCAAAACACGGAGAACATTTTTGTCGAAATATCCAAGTCCGCATAGGCAAGAATTGGTCAAGCAATCAGCCAAATGTTGACTCAAACTTTTGCTGATATTGTTCCGACAATATATGTATTCTTCTTTCAAACATTGGCCTCAAAACTGTCATGATATTTCTTTAGTACACAGGTTAACGACGACCTAATAGTCTCGCTAACTTCAGCTCAATCTACTTTAGCTTCATTTAGCGCACAAGGGCGATATATAAAGGGACACATTTATGTAAGCAATGAACTAGATCGATTCTTCAAGTTCTGTTTTCACCATATTCGAAGTTACTTATTTGTCCGCGGAAGACGATTTGCCATACAACTTTACCTTTATCCCACACCCCAAGTTATAGTGGATAAAGATCAACTAGTAGATGAAGGAGAATTGGCGATTTAATATGCTTCACTTAATTGGTTGCCTTTACTTCAAAGGAAGACATGACGTAAACTTTTGAAAGAATATGATTGTTGCATTTGATTTTAGCCGTCAAGGAAGCATAACCATGCTACGATCTGACAGGTTTTCCTCCAAGAATTTGTGCCCACATCCTTTGAGCAGCCCTAAGAGAAGACATTCTTCGAATTCTTTATTACGCCTTGAGTGCTGTTTAGCTTTAATCCATTATTTCTTTCTCCTTCACTCATTTTTCCAGGAGCCTCTCATTGGCGCAAAATAGATTATATTAAACTCAGAATTTTATAATTATAAGCTAAATTGGTTTGCACTCTCAATAGAAGCTTAAATTGCATCAGCTAAATGTATGGCCTTCTTCGCTTAAGCTGCCCAGACACTTAAAGACCGTCATGATTCCTTTGCCCTTCACAAATACTTCTCCAATGCACTGGAAACTGAAAAATTTCGACAATTGTAAGGCCACCTTCTTAGGCACCTGGATTGTATTGGCCGTTGTTGTATAACACATTCTACTGGACACGTTTACCGTATTACCCCAAATGTCATAGGTTGGCTGGGTATAGCTGATCACTCCGGCGACTAGAGGGCCCGAATTGAATCCAATAGCCAGCTTGAACAGAGTCTCACCAAACACATATTCACGATTAAAGTCGGCCAACAACTCAAGCATCCTAAAACAAAAGTTCATCAGCTGTATAAGGTGGTTCCTTTTATTTGGCTCAGTCTTGTGACCCCCTTGTTCAGGCAAAGAATCCTTTTGGTACTGTCCATCATCTTCCGTTCGTCCGCGCCGACCTTTATTCTCGTCAAGTCCAGAGGCCAACATGTAGGTGTCCCCTATCAGTTTGATCTTCTCGAGCTCGGAAAATCCCGACTCCTTGAGCAAGGCCTCGTCAAAGCTGCAGATAATTTGATGCAGAAGGCTGAGGGTCCCAATTCCGCGCTTATAATCCTCCCGATAGTAGTTTTGAAAAAAGTCAATCAATCGGGCAAATACAACGCCTGCTTCAGCGATTGAGGTGGAATAACTAATAGACTTATCGAAATGACGACCCTTGCCTAAAAACTGTTGGGTTCCGAGCCGTTGGATGACGTGCTTTGGCAACACGTTATTGAGCAAGTTTCTAACCTCATTTCGAGATTCACGCACAGTTGCTATGGCCGCTTGCGCCTGGTTCTGCACGAAAAAAACAAGCCTAGTGATCCATTCGAGTAGCCGAGACAACCAGATTACTGTAAGTAAGAAGCTGTAGCCGGCCAGCACAGTTAATAGTTGGTCTGTTTGCTCTCCCCGATCCTCATACAAACTGTGACAAGTAAGATAGGCGGTATTAGACTCAGAATGCTCAAATTCGTCAAAGTAGCCGCCATAATCAACGGAGATATCAGCCTCCAAGGACTGCAAGCCTGAGCTATTCAAAGCAAGTGAGAAATTGTGAAAAATCTGTCGGTCCTCTTGCTTTGCGCCTCGTATAGGCGTCTTCATTGCCTCAAAAACGGAGATCAACAAGTGTATCGGTAGGCTGGCCAATATCCGGGGCAAGTAGCGTGTGGTGACCGGGATTATGAGAGGCAGCATGGAAGCGGCCCAAAGGTTATGCTCATGAATGGTTAGGTGGATATCGAGGAAAAAGGTGATAACGCAATGAGTAAGATAAATGAGAGAAGGTACCAGACAAAGGAGAACAGAAGCTATCTGGCTCGGGATAAGGCGCATCAGCAAGGGCCATGAACAGGAATATTTTTTAAGAGAACGCTCTTGGGTGCCAGAAGTACAAGATGGCGTCGCCATATTAATGGCAAGCCAAGGGACGAGAACCAAGGGCAGGCTAGTGTAACCCAAAATAAGAATTGTACTGCTGGCGTAGTTAGAGAAGACAAACAGGGCTAGCTGGGCGGCTAGGAACAGGTAATTGTAGAGCAGTAGAACGGCAGCGTCAAGCAGCCGACCAAGACGCATCGAATCCACGTAAGTGGGCCGATTGTGGTCTTTAACCAACATACAATATTGATTCTCTAATTCAGCATCCATAAATCTCAGATGGACCGGGTGAACCGGCATTTTGTGAAAAGCCTGAACCTGACGCAGTGGATCATCCTGCAAAGCAAAGATTAATTCCACATCGCGTCTAGCGTACTCGACGGCCTTGCTAGTGCGGGGGAGACTGTTGAAGTCCTCAGAAAAGTCACCACCAGTTGAGGAGTAAAGACTCTTAATCTTAGCCGCAATCAAATCCAGCCGAGCAAGCAGCAGTTGACTATAAAGCGTGGTAGGCTCCGGCTTCTGTTGGGACTCAGGAGGGCTGGCAATTTGGGGCTCAGGGAGACGGAGGGTCATGCGATGCGTGATGGGTTTCCGCTTTATGGAGTACTTACTTTCACGCCGCATAATTGTAACCGACTTATCAAGCGGCTCGGCTATGCTCATATCGACGGATGACTTGGCGTGTTGATGAAGCGGTACAACAAAAAAGGTGTCAAGCAATCGAGTACGCGGTAGCACGCCTATCCCGGCAGACTCGTAAGTCTTTATCTTCACGGGCTCGCTGAGCTCGAACTCGAATACCGTGTCGGAATACCGTTTTGTCACCAAAGAGACATGCACCCGACTTGGCATGCCAGTCTGTTCCATGAGGTTGGCGATGTGTACGTCGTTGGAATAAACACCAAATCGAAACCGATGCAGCCCAATAATGGCTCCATTAGCGCGGCCAGTGTGTACCCCAACACGCATCTGCACCTTCGAGCCGTGAATGGCATTTATCTGTTCCAAGCCAGTGCATATGTCTAAGCCCAATTTGACGCAGCAAACTGCATGATCTCGCCGAGGTGTAATGCATCCCGCCACGCAGTGGTAGCAGTCGCCTAGGGTGCTTATTTTCTCACAGTTATGAATCATGGCGTAGTCGTCCAACCGACTGAAGATGTCGTTTAACAGACGGACCAACGAGCTAGCGGACCGGCCGCTGCTCATCTGAGTGAAGCCGACGATGTCGGAAAAGAGTATGCTGATGCATTCGTAAGTATTACAGAAGACGTCCCAGTCTCCCTGTCTGATGCTGTTACTTCGAAACCGCATAAAATCTGCCCTCAATTGGCTCGGCATCACTGAATCTATCCATTTCAGTTGCGCTTTGAGTGCCGCATTTTGGCGTTGTCTCACCAAAGTGGCCTGTCCCAAACGCAGAAATGCGGCCAGCAGCCGACTGTGGTTGTAAAAGTAATGATAATTGCCAATTACACCCAGTGAGAGGAGATATATTATCTGAAAGCAAGCCATAATATAGGATTTTCTGCATTCCTTTGAATCCTCCATGTCTTTAAAGCATGCTTCGTATTGCAGATCAACAATGTGGCACAATGACGCAGTAAGACCCAGACAGAAGACAAGAGAGTATTCGATAAGCCCCATTTCGAAAAGGAAAAGCACGGTTCCAATGATTAACAGTAATGCTGCCTCACTGTCCACTCTCAAGAGTTTAGAGCAAAATATTAGCCACAGGCTAACAACTATCGCGATAAAGGTGAACATGTAGATCCTAGTCCTCCGACTGGTGTAGCTGTTTGTAGCAAGATACAGAACAAGAAATCCGATACTTCGAGATCGTAAGAGGTATATGTAACTTTTTCTATTGCCTTCGGGATTAAGTAACGGTACTAACAGAGACAGCAAAACGAATAAAATGGAGAATTTAAAAAAGAGCCTGGCTTGCGGCAAAAATACATTGCTAATGGTTTCCATGTAAAATTCCTTCATCCACTGGGTATTAAAGGTAAGCAAGTAGCGAACGTCGAGTATTGCATCTTTTATACGTCGAAAGAGAGTTTTCTTCTTTGTCTTAATGAGATCATGCAGGAAATATCCACGCAGCTGATTCATCCCTGTTCGACTGCGTCTTGCAGCGAAGTGTCGTTATTCGCACGATCGATAAGTCAAGGGTCAAGTTGTTCTGCCTCTGTTTTAAACTGTGCGCAGACTTGTTCGGGGAATTTTAGAAAAGAAATCCTTCAGGGCAATTTTCTGGCATCCGCACTCCATTTCTTTCCTAAAACAGCCAACTTTGATCCGGTATAAAGAAAAACTTCACAATAAATTAATTGTGAGAGGACAGCGATCCCCCCGGCCCGATCACTCTGAATAGATTATGTAATTATGAATTCTAGGCCATTAGTGATCATATGTTTAATGCACTCCTCGTTCTAATATAGCATATGAGATACATTATTGTCTATACCTCACGGTGTCCTGCCAATTTTCTACAATCCAAAACTCGATAGTCGCTAGTGCGCTCCTAGTAGCTGGGTAACACAACCATTAAAACTGTCAGCATGATGCAATCGATCTTAAGGGAACTATTAATTCATAATGAAACATGTAATTAGAACTAGCTGTGAAACTTGGATGCATAGGAAGATAAATATTGTGTAGAAAGTCTGCGATAAATGAGTGACCGATTGGAATCCTTGAACCGGGAATATAAGAGACTGATCGTCCCGAGCACAAGGAAGAGTCTAATAGGACCTAGATGAAATGGTTTTTAAAGTGAAAGGGCCAAGTTGGATCAACATTTCCCGCCCAATGTGGAGAGGCGAAAGAAGAAGCCAGCAAGAAGAGTTATTATGCCTGACTAAATCAGTTTAAAAAGGCAAGTATCTAAACGATCCGAGAAAACTTGGCATATCGCTAAAACAAACTTGAAAAAGATCAGCAAAAGGAAGACGACTGGATCAAGATAAAAACGTTAATTTTAGGAAAAGAAATGGCAAGGAGACCACAAAAATCATAAACCAAGAGGAGATGCCTAGAGTGAGCCCAACCAAAACAAGCAAACTATATCATTTGTGGGTTGGCGCACAATAAACTAGGGCATAGGAAGCCATAGGCTTGGCGCTATGGA